AAATACATTTAAGATACTTCTATTATGACCTTCACAAATAACCTTGAACACAATTTTACTTATAAATTTACGTATATAGTAATATAGTAAAATTCTGTTTTATCAACTTGTTTTTTAGAAATATAGATTCCTATCTTATTGATCTATGGATAGTAATAGAAACCTGTTGTACATTTTTGGTTATTACCAAGGACACAACGAGATAATATTTATTTTATTAGTTATTAAATTTTTAGATATAAAAAACTCTAATGTATAGTTCTTTTTCAAGATGGTTAAATGTATTACTACTTATAAAAAGGAAAGAAAATTGTTTTTCTCATTACTTATCGACACACGGTACATTTAATATCCAGAATAATGCTGGTAGCATAGAACTTCACACACTTTTGCAGATGTAAAATTGTTGAGAATAATACCCATTGATAATGAGAAAATCTACAAATTTTTCTGATGTTAATATAGTTTTTGTTTATTATAGAAAATGATACCTATAATTTAAACAAAAAAATACAGAAGTACATAGAAGCTCACCTTTTTTATCTACCTAGTTTAATTTTTGTTATTACCACGACAACCAGTGTGCGATAGTAGGTACTTAACGCGATGATCGTACAATACTATCAAAGAATACAGTATGGTAATATAGTAATATAGTAAAATTCTGTCTTATCAACTTGTTTGTTAGAAATATAGATTCCTATCTTATTGATATATGGATAGTAGTAGATTCCTGTTTAACATTTTTGGTTATTACCAAGAACACAACGAGATAATATTTATTTTAAGAATACGGATGTGTATTTAAGAAAATGAAGTATTCTTTGATAGTATATAATAGTATTTGATATATTGTAATAAAATTTTAAATAATTATACTTAATTTTTAGTATATAAACATGTGTGTGTGCCTTCAGAAATGCATTTTTATTTGAGTGTTTAAATTGTTTCATTTTAAAATATATATATATATTTATATATATATATATATATAAATGCATTTCTGAAGGCCCACACACATGTTTATATACTAAAAATTAAGTATAATTATTTAAAATTTTATTACACTATATCATATACTATCATATACTATCACAGAATACTTTATTTTCTTAAATACATACGTATTCTTAAAATAAATATTATCTCGTTGGGTCCTTGTGGTAATTACCAAAAATGTAGAACAGGAATCTACTACTATCCATAGATCAATAAGATAGGAATCTATATATTTCTAAACAACAAGTTGATAAGACAGAATTTTACTATATTACCATACTGTATTCTTTGATAGTATTGTACGATCATCGCGTTAAGTACCTACTATCGCACACTGGTTGTCATGGAGTAACAAAAATGAAACTGGGTAGATAAAAAAGGTGAGCTTCTATGTACTTCTTTATTTTTTTGTTTAGGCAAACATGAGAATGAAACCTTATCATCAATTTAGTTTTATTGCTAGTTATCAACAAAAGATTAAGATGATATCTATATGAATAGTATGTATCTTAATGGGAAATTATTTCCATGTTTAATAGGCAATTCTTATCATTAGTCCATCAAGTCGGTATCTACAATTTTGTTCATTTTTTCTCCTATAGTCTTACTAAATATTTCTATGAGAATTATATTTTTATTTTAAATCTGATTGAATCTATTTATCTTTTGATAAAGTATTATGACTATGGTATTATAATGTTAAGCTATCATCGATTGGAAACTGAAAATGACAGAACCATCAATAGATAAAATCAATTTTTACAATGAAAAAATGTTTATAACGACAAAAAATTTGGATTCTTTCAATGATTTATAATCAACAATTTTAGATATAAACATTTTCAGATTCTTGTAAACTTTTATCAACCTTGTTCTATTACCATTTATTTTATATAATAAACTTTCAATTACTAATCCATATTTAGTTTAATGGCAATTACATATTGAATCAGGTTCAATAGACAGCAGGTACGATGAGAATAGAAATGTTGTGTAGAGTAGATGTTTCATATGATTAATCATCATTGATGATAAAAGTGGGATCACTGAGAACGAATGTGTTTCTATTTAGAATACCATAACGGCTTTGCACTGTAAGACTTCATTTGATTAAAACTCATGTTACTAAGTAAATTAATTAAATCCTTACGTTTGTAATGAACGAATACGTAGTGAAGCTTTCTTCAATATATTATATGGCTTATATAAGATGAGTTTTTTTTTAAGTATAAATTAAAAGTTATTAGATTGCAAAAATACTTATTTTTAGATTCGTATATAATAATTATTAATTATTAGAATATTTATTTGTTTTTTTTTTTTTTTTTTTTATTGGAGAAATATATATAATTTATGAAAATCCATGAAATAATAATTTAAATGATTTTGAGGAATATTTCATATTTAATGAATTTTCTTATAAAACAAATTCAAATTATTTGATCACACATTTTTTACAAATTTTCTCCGTATTGATTTTGGTATAAATAAATTTTCAAATGAAATTTACAAGTAAACAAGACTGGCATAGCAACCATGTAATCAAGAAAATGATATATTTCATTTCGAAAATAACATCATATGAAACATCATATTTTTATACATATACATTCATAATAAATGTTTTACCCTTTACATATATATAATTAAAAATATTAATATACCACAGGCAAATGGGAAGGGGGCAGGGTTGTTAAAAGATTTTTATTTGAGGATTTAAATATTATTTATTTTAAATACATACCTGTTATGACTGATAATCAATAGAACCATTACGGATATCAACGATAATAATTATTGTTGAGTTTGAACAAGTTCTAGCAATAGGTTAACACCATCGAAGATTATAATCAAGTCATTTCAAAGGTCTAGAATAGAAGATAGATTGAACAAGAATAAAAGAAAGATAAAGGTAGTTAAAAAGAGAGAAATAGAGTGAGTGAGTGAGTAAGAGATAATAACACTTAACAATAAGAGTAAAAAAACTGTCGTACATGGGGTCAGTTAGTATATGGAAAAAACAACATATCCTGGAGACCGATTTCAGCAGCGGTGGTCCGGATCGTTGCACGGGGCACGTCGAGGGCAAACACCCCTGGTTGGCCCGGCGGTCTATACCAGAGGTGGTAGCAGCGTTACCGGGCCACGCATCACCAAACTCTTCTCTCCTCTTTGATGCTCGGAGAAAAGGAGGATAAGTGGTAGGGTAGCGAGAAATTTAGTAAGAAACTTAGCTCGAAGGAAGGAAAATTCATCTCTCCTACTAGTTGGTGTTTCAAAGATATCGGAAAATCTTTTAGAGATAAATCGGATCTACGAAATATTTACAGAGATAGATTCAGTATAACACAGAAACCGAGAGAAAGAAAGAAAGAGAGAGAGAGAGAAAAGAGAGAAACAGGAGGACATGAGGGCAGGAGGGAAGGTTTACGGTTTCAGAGCTATGGTGTTAGGTAGGTTAAAGAAAGATAGATAGAGATGGTGAAGTAAAACGAAAGAGAGAGAGAGAGAGAGTTCTCCTGTACACGATGGTGGGCACAATATTGATCTGTGGGGTGGGCTTCGGGAGATGGGTGTACTCCACCGCCCAGGCAGTGGTTCCCTTCTCTCCTCTCCCCTTTCCTGAGATCTCCTAGTTGTGTTAGGAGTGGGAGAACCGGTGGCTGCGTGCTGGACCATTCCGCAGGCTCCTGCGAGATGAATAGTGGGGGTTAGCCGGGAGGGAAACTAGAGAGGGAGAGTTGAGGAGAAAATACTCTTCTTAGGGGTGGTGGTACCGGTGATGGAGGTGGTGGTGGTGGGCTTACACGAGATGCGGGGTGCCTTTCTCGCATCTATATCGCGCCGGTGGTGGCTGCGAGTCGTAGGGAGCACCACGGCCGGTTTGCTGCTGCTGCTGTTCCGTTCTTCACTCCTCTACTAAGTTTTTAAGATTCGGGAGAAAGAAAGAAAGAAAGAAAGAAAGATTTGCTCTGTTTCTTATTTTTTTTTTACTTTTTTTCTTAGACTAACATTTTCTTTTATTTTACATAATCGCATATTAAATTTCTTTCCATCTTTCTCCGGCAGATCTCTCTCTATTTAACATTTCATATCTTCGAGAATATATTTCGACGTTTGAAGAGATACGATAGTCAACGTAAATATTCTTAATTTTCATTAAACTATAATATAATATCTTACCGTTTATCTTTTTTTTTTTATCATTATTAAATAACACGTCATTTTTTCTTTTTAATTCTTCTCTTTCTCTTACGAATTTCTTTTGTTCCTTCACATATTTGAGATTTTCTTGAATTTGTTTTTTTCGTTTATTAATACAAAGCATAATATCAATAAGATCGCGTTGAAGAAGAAAAATATTTCAATGTGAAAACACACATCATCGGCACATCATCAACGTTGCGAAGCGTATCACGCCGGTGTACGGCGTGGTGCTAGTGATGGTGCTGATGATGATGGTAGTGTAGGTGGTGCTGCCGGTGGTCTTGCTTAGTGGTGGTGGTGGTGGTGGTGGTGGTGGTGGTGGTAGAAGTGGTAGTGGTGGTGGTGGTGCTGGTGGTACTGGTGGTTAAACGACCCTCGCTCGTCCTTCGTTTCGCGAGAAAACACCGCCAACACCGGGACTCACGAGGATCGCTTCTTCCACTTTCTCTCTTTTAAATTCCCCCCCTCATCCACAATTTCTTTTTTTTTTCATATCTCTTCTATTTCCTACTTCTTTTCCCTTCGACAAAAAAAAGTAAGAAATAAAAGCACCCGTGTATCAATAAAATTTAACCAAGTTCGTCACGTACTTCGTCACGTTCGTCTATTTATCTCGTCCCATATAGAATCCTTATTTTTTTGTTTTTTTCTCTTTTCTTTTTTTTTTATTTTTAATACACCGAATTCCTGCATTCATATATTTCTCTCTCTCTCTCTCTCTCTTTATTTTATTCTTGGATAAATTTTTATCGTCGGATATGACAAAACTATCATTATTATTATTATAATCATTATATCAATCACACGCATATACCAGCGAGATAAAAGTATAAACGATAATTAGGATAGAGTCTGTTGATTTGCCTTGCGTGTTTTTGACTTGAGTGATCGTTCGACAGACACATTTGACTGTTGTACTTCTAAGGAAGAGAAGAAGGATTATTAGAGGGAAGAACAAGGAGGTGAAGACTAGGATAGTAGTAGTGTTGGATTGTAGGCGATAAAGGAGCCGTTGGAAGACAACGACTCGTCAGCAGGGGTAGAAAGAAAGAAAGGAAAAAGGAAAGAAATAGAGAGAGAGAGAGAGAGAGAGAGAGAGAAATAGAGCTAGATAAAGAGAGGGATGAAGGGGAGGTGGTAGTGGTACTGGTAGTGGTGGTGGTGGTGCTGCTGCTGCTGTTGCTGGTTGAAGAGGAGTAAAAGAGGAGAGGGTAACACGCTCTAGGAAGTTGCCTGGATACGGGGGCAGCGACGGTGGCACCGTGTTGCGCCCTCGTTGAAGGAGGAGGAGGAGGAGGAGGTGGTGGTGGTGGTGGTGGTGGTGATGGTGGTGGTGGTGGATAAAGTGGTGGAGGAGGAGGAGAAGGTAGGGTGACGAGGCTCGAGGGAAGCAAAGAGAAGGAAAGAGAGAGAGAGAAATATCTGTATATACATATATTGAGAGAGAAAGAGAGAGGGAGAGAGAGAGGTAGAGAAAGGTGCGCGCGCGCGCGCTCAAGCGAGTGGCCGGCCGAGCGAGAACGCACATAGTACGCCGCGTACGGATTGGAATGGAACGCGTCGCGGACCTCGACGACGAAGGTGCTATTTCTAGTGAGACGTGAAAAAGTACGAGGATGCACGAGCACTTGCTATTGCTATTGCTAGTCCTCATTTATCGACGATAGATTCGTCAATTTAATTTATTTTATTTCGCGATAGCATCCCTGCATCCTCGTTATGATTGATGATTATTATTTGTTATCCTTATTCTTATTCTAATATACTTTTATATATTTATTTTTCATTGAACTCTTTCATTTATATTTTATACATTTTGTTTGTTTTGTTGTTGTTGTTGTTGTAAGCTCTCTCTCTCTCTCTCTCTCTCTCTATTTATATTTTCCATTTCGTTCTTGTTCTTCTTGTTTTTATATTTTTTTTTTTTTAATTTTGTATTTAATTTTTATATCAGTCCCGCGATCTCATCGTGCGCGTATTATAATTGTTTAAAAAGATAACTAAAGAAAAAGGCAATTGTAAAAATAAATTTGGCACTTTTCGATTGAATTTCTCTTTAGGAAGTGTTGGGGTAATAAAGAAAGAGAGATATAGCTGAGTGACAGAAAAATAAGTGAAAGGGAAGGAAGATTCGTGTTATGGAAGAGAAACGAGAAACAGGATCACCACCCGAGTGGATAACGGACGAATGGGTGTCGTCCTCCTGCTTAAAAAGGAAGGATCGTGTCGGGGACACTTGTGAATTTAGTGTATTATCATAGTACGAAGGACTTTCATTTGTCCTTCTATTACAAAACTCGCCTCTGGAGCTTGCGATATTGCGAGACACGAGAGCGTGGTATGTAACGAGCTTGTAATTACTTTTCTTCCCCATATATCGAATATTTTTATTTCATTTCGTTTCTTAGAAGTTTTTTTTTTGAAAATATTTGCAACCGTACGTGCGAGTGAGAAACGAGATTAACAAATTATTTTATTATATTTTGTATTTTCTTGAAATTTGGATCTGATTAGAAATTTTTTTTTAAATCTTATCATTAAAAATGTGTTGACGTTTCTCCTGTACTTATTACATTGTACATAAAATTGATTTGTTATTTTTTTTTTCTTTTTTTTTTTTTTCTTATAATTTATTCATTTCTGAGAAAATTTAAATTTAGGATTAATTATATTAATACATAATCTTCTCGTGAAATATAAAATTTGGACACTTCTTAACTATTACACGTATTGAGAATAATTTTTGTTTTCCTATTCTTTTTTTTTTTTTTTTTTTTTTTAATTTAAATGTAATACAATTCGTGCGATTGAGAGAGATAATAAAAGAAAAAGAAAAAATATATTATTATTCTTTTTATTCTCTTCGCGTAATATTATACGATCGGATTTAAATGTTTACTCTTATCGTGAAAAATGATGAGCCTTTCGCGCGAATGTGTGTGAGAAAGATAGTTAAATAGACAGAAATAAGAGAGATAAAGATAAACAGAGAATGTAAGAGAGAGAGAGAGAGAGAGTAAATATACGAACGAAGTTCGATTTTCAATATGCTCATAAAAATCGTTATATCGAAGCAGCTGTATAAGAGTGTCTCTCGATAAATAACTGGTGTCGTTTAAATGAGTAGTTCGCGCGTTTATAATGTCCTGGACAACGAGGGGATTGCTATTAGCAAAAAAAGAGAGAGAGAGAGAGAGAGAGAGAAAGAGAAAGAGAGAGACAACGAACCTTCAAAAGGCTCGATCATTTTTACGATAGGGATGTTACTTTCGTTTCCTATCAAACAAAGTACAAAGAAAGAAAAAAAAAAAAGCAATACGATAAAGTTATTTCAAATCAGTCGTATTTTTTCTCCATGACGTTTTAAACGAAGAAAATTCGTAAGAATAATAATATCCCTTCGATATCCTACGAAAGTAGAAAAATACAAATAATACATTTTATATATTTTCTTTAATTTATTTTTTTTCTTTTTCATATTATATCTCCTTGATCTTGCCTTAAAAATACGTCAAATTGTATTTCTAAAAAAAGAAAAAAATAGAAGGAAAAATTGGCAGACTTTCTTTCTTTCTTTTTTTGTTATCTGGGGTTGACACGAGGAAAAAAAAACAGGTGAATTTGATTATTAGATAAACAATTTTCGATTTGTTTTTTTTTGATAGTAGAAAAGTAAAAGAAAATATTTAGTAGAAAAGTATCGTGAAAGATATTGACAGGCTCGTCAAGGATCGAGGTATCGATTATTTTTCGTCAGCACGAGAATAAAACAGAAAGAAAGAAAGGAAAAGGAATAAACAGAAAGAGAGAAAGAGAGAGAGAGAGAGAGAGAGAAAGAAGTGAGACGAGTAGTTAGTATTATCTCTTTCCGCAAACACGAAAACGTCCGAAACATTTTGAAAAGATATGCACGTATAACATAGATACGAGTTGACGTATCGAAAAAAAAAAAAAACAAAAAAATACGTATGCCGCGTTCTCTAACAATAACGTTGTTTTTACAATAAATCCCGTAGCATTAATTCGACAGAACCACAAATTCTATTCGTAAATAAAATTATAATATGAAAAATCCGTACCCTTCCCCCAGGGAGAGAAAAAAAAAAAAAAGGAAAAACAAAGAAAATAAGGAGAAACTTGAAAAGGAAATCCCCAAACCCACCCATCACCTCCCCCTCCCCCTCCCCGCCCCATGAAAAAAAAAGTGTCGAAAGAAATATGAAAGAGGGGTTGTTTTTGTTTTGTTTAAATTGTTTACAGAAATTAGAGGGAGAAAAAAAAATGGTTGGATTTTGTTGGAGGGATGATCATAGGAGAGGACCGACAACAACAACGGGGCAAACAAAACTAGCGTAGCGTTCGATAGATTGCGATTTTTCGAAGAGGAAGAAGAAGAAGAAGACGACGACAAAGAGGGAGGAGGAGGAGGAGGAAGAAGCAAAAGAAGAGGAGGAGGTGGTGGTGTGTTGGAGAAGAGAGGAGAGGAGAGGAAGAAGAAAAACGGGGAGATTCGTGGTAGTAGAAGAAGAAGAAGAAGAAGAAGAAGAAGAAGAAGAAGAAGAGGAAGAAGGAGAAAGAGAAGGTGGTGGTGGTGGTGGTGGTGGTGGTGGTGGTGGGTGGTGGTGGAGGAGGTGGTGGTGCGAAAGGACGAGGCTTGGGTTCCCTCGATCGCGCGATAGCCCATCGTCGAATAATCTGAAAGAGGACGCTCGGTTATGACGGCGAAATCGGGTGGAGGTGGTGGTTTACGATATTCTACCCCACGGTCGCGAATTTTAGTCGAATAAGGACGATCGGGTTGATGAGAGCTACGGTGTCACGATCACGGTCACGGGATAGATCATGACAGTTCTCTTCGTTATCGTGGAATTAATAGTAGTAGTGGTAGTAGTAGTAGTAATAATAATAGAAGTAGCAATAGTAATAGTCAAAAACGCGCGACCAAGTGGAACTTTTATTAATTTGAGCAGCTTGGAGCTTAGAATTTAACGGAGAACGGAGTTTTTACGAAACTTAAGGAACTAGAAAATTGTCGTTATATTGTGGAACGTCCTCCTCTCCTTCGAGACTTGTGTGTGTGTGTATTTATATGATATATATATATATATAAATATATATGATATAAATATTAATATATATTAATATAAATATTAACAAAATATTAATATTTATTATTTAACACCAACAAATATGTTTATATATATATCTGGTTTCTCGTGGGTCAGAGAGAAAGATATGATAGGTTGNATATATATATATATATATATATATATATATATACATATATATACACATATATTTATATGTACGTGTATATGCCTATGTGTAGAAGTTTTTGATATCGGTCATTCGAAGGTGGACCGGAAGAAGAATAAAAGCTGCCATAATGGCGCACGACACTATTACGGGTTCTTTCCCAAGGATACAATTTTGGATGTTCACAAGTAGTCTGCCGATTTTATTCCTGCTTATCGTCGTACCTCAGGGTGAGTGATTATATATTTTTATCTTATCTTTTAATTATTCTAATCGTCATTTATAATAATTTTAATACGTCACATCGATGAGAGATTTTGATATTTCGAGAATAATATCGAAATTATTATATTATATATTTTTTTATAAATTTTGTTTTCCTTGAAACAAATATTCCACGTACTCGTTGCGTATTCGTTTCTAAAAACAAATAGAAGAAGAATTTTTATCGTCATAGTTTTATTATCAAACAAAAAAAAAGAAGAATTGTTTGATTATTTTACAAACGTTTCTTTTTCCTTCCCCGATTCTCAACAATATTTTTGCTTAGTCAAGCTTGGATTCTGGATAAGACAGACGTATCCTGGGGTTGTCGCGTTGTTGAAATATTACGGGTGTAAAGAATGCACGTGCTCGAATAAAAGGTGCTTCTCGGTTATATTCGTCCGGAACAATTTTACAATGCTTTTCACATGCTTCGAAGAAAGGCAAATATATTTCTGTATTTACGTATTACGTGTATGTGTAAAATATATGACTAGAAAGAAAATACGTAAAAACAAAAAGAAAGAAACAAGTAAACAATAATTAGGATGTAATTTTCGTTTAAACGAAAATATTCAAAAGTAATACTTCATAGCTGATATAATTTTTATTTGTCGTAATATTTATCTCGAAAATTAAAAAAAAAAACAAAAAATTAACTAAAACGTTTTATTATATTTTATTTTATTATATAATAAAATATATTAAACCTCGTTGTTTTACCATTTATTCGAAAAATATAATATTTGCGTGTGAATAAAATGTTAAAAAAAAAAAGATGAAAAATATAAAAAAAATATCATATAACCGAACGTTTTTCGTTCGCGAACGACTTAATTCAAAAATATTATTTACAAGTTCATCTGCGTATGCATATGATGTTGCTTCATTTTAAAAACTAATATGCGTTTTCATATCGTCCTTCGAATAATATCTTTATTTAATTTCTTTTTTTTTTTGTTTTTTTTTTTCTTTTAATTTTCTTTTTATTTATTTATCTTTTCTTTCTCGTGGCAAATTTACGCTCGAATTCATGCGATTTCATCGCATTACAGGATTATTTATATATTTACGATGAATGGTTTCGTTGGATGATTTGAGTCGACTTTTCGCCTAACTTATCGCGATCAACGACTTCGTTGATTGAAAAGAGAATAAACGTCGATTACGAAAGAAATGTACTGTTCGATGAATCCAAAGAGAGCATTTTCTTTCCATTTTCTTTTCATTCTAAATGAAAATCTTATCTCTCTTTCTCTATCATTCTATTCCCCTATCCTTCTTCTATTAATTTTCTTCTTTATCTTTTCGATCAGCTTTTATTCAAAGACATCTTTGATTAAAAATCGTTTTTAGTTTAAAACGAGAACGTTTGAAAAAGGGAGAATTCGTTCATTGTTTTTTCTTACTTAAAATTAATTAATTAATTTATTTATTTATTAATTTATTTATTTACCTTGTAAATAACAATTGATTTCTATTCTCGCGGATCGATAACGTCGTTTTATTTAATTAACGTTAATCAATTATAAACGTAAAATTATTCTCACAATTTGTTCTCACGTTTTGTTTCATTTCGATCATTCTGTGTCTATGTATAAAAGTATAAATTTACAATAGATAATTTATAATAATATATAAAATGCATAATCCGTTAATCGAAGCGAACGAATGAATTTTCAAAATCAAATATTTCGTTAATAATTAATTAATTAAATGAACATTTATTCATTAATTCTCCCATTTCATATTGTTACAAAAAGAAAATTCATTTTCAATAAAGTTGAATAAATTAAAACGAGTGCCTGGCACTTTATCAGTCATTGAAAGGACAGAACTCAATGATAAATCCTTTCATAAATTCATATTCGACGATGAAATACATCATACAAATTCCCTAAAGTTCTTCCATATGCAAAATAAACTTGCACAGTTTCACTTTGATTGGTTAGTTGTAAAAGATGATATTCAGTGATAGACGTTGTTTGTGACAGAGAGAGAGAGAGAGAGAATAAAATCGAGTTGCCATAAGTTTCATCGTCTCTTTTGAGATTCTCAATGATCTTTCGTATTTTTTTTCTTTCTTTTTGTAATTTTGTCTATTTTTTTGGTTCATTTTACATTTCGTTGTTTTATTTCTTCCTCCATCTTTTCAATAACCTTCGGGTGGAGCGGGGGGGGGATTCCGTTTTCTTCGAAAACGTCGAATCACCGAGGGATACATTATTCAAGAGCTACATAGAATCTAATCGTGGAACGTTTTCTTCGACTCTTTCTTCTTCTATTTCTTCTCTCGTGAAAATCTTGCATTTTCCTGCGGTTTATCAAAGAGAGAAAGAGAAGTGAAGAGAAGGAAAGGAAAGGAAAGAAAAGAGAAGGGTAGAGAAGGGTAGTGAAGGGTAGAGAAGGGTAGAGAAGGGCAGAGAAGAGAAGAGAAGAGAAAGAAAGGGAAGGGAAGGTAAGGGAAGAGAGAAAAGAGCTCTTTGGAAAAGGGCGAGCAAATTGATTTGGAGAAAATTCATCCTAGAACTCGATTCTCTAGAAGCTTTCAAATAATTCTCGTCTTTAGAAAATCAAATGGAAAGTTGTATTTTTTGCTAAAAAAAAAAAAAAAGAAAAAAAAAAGACGGGAAGATAATTATTCAGGAAAATGTTAAATATCGGATAAGGTAAATTCCCATCCATTGTGTACAAATGTTTTTTTTTTTTCTTACAATGTCAAAGTTACGGTATTATTTTACACGGTAATTAATTTTGGCGATTGAAATATTCGTCTTTTTTATTTTTTCAATTTTTGTACAAGTTCAAAGTATATTTTTTTATTAACGTTTATACACACTTATTCAACATTATCAAAGATTAACGCGTGAATTTTGCGATTAAATATATTTTTATGAAATAAATTCTACGTGTGCAGAGGGAGGGGTATGCGAGAGATTTCGAAGTTTGGATTAAATATTATTTTAAAAAAAAAGGCAAAAAAAGTAAAAGAAATGAGGGTCAGAGAGAAACATAGAAAAATTGATTAAAAAGAGAGAAATATAAGACAATTATAAAATTCGTCACGTCGATTATAATTATGGATAGCGTATATTCGATGACAAGAGCCCGTGGTAGTAACGAAATCATGCAGTAACGTATGGCATGTCGTGTCCAAGGACTCCTCGTCGTTTCGCAAAACTGCATTTCGTTGGTCGAAACGCTTCAAACAAAGTTTCCATTTGTTCTGGTCCACTTCAAACTCTCCCCGCTAACCTCCTGTCCTTGTGTTACTATCCTATCTTTAAATTCTACTCTTTCGATCGAACGTGTTGCTGCGTGAAATTCTGGTGAATTGAATAGAATTGAATAGAATTTTGTGATTTTAGAAAATAAAATGGGCAAAATGATATTTTCATTGTTATTTAAGCCCATCTATTTTCTCGATTAAACATTATCTCAACAAAATTTTACTTAATAATTAATTTTCAATATTATTGTATCTTAATTAGTGATAAAAATATTTTACGTTGACATATATTTTTTAAAAGTGATCATTATATTTAAAAATATTTTGTTTGATATAAATAATTATATAATTATACATTACGGTATATATTGCTTGTTGTAAATCATTACAGATCATTTGAAAAAAAATTCACCAGTTATCGCATTTATAAATATTTTCATTATAATCTTTTTCAATCTTTCAATTAAATAAATATCTAATATATTTTTAATGAATACTATGATCACACATAAATAAAATATTAGTCCAATTTAACAAAATATATAATACCATAATTTGATATGCTTTGAAAATAAGAGGATATTTTATATAACAAATAAAATTTAAACTAAACACACACAGAGTCTTACTCAACGCGTGTAGCATATGCTTATTATACAAGGCACCTATTATTAACAGGTAAGACCCTTTGACAACAATGGTCCTTTCATTAAAACTACTTTGACTCCTTTATTTCGTCTCACTCAAAGACACTCAGTAACTAATTGCCAGTAACTAACTCACCTTGCTGACTGTTTTTAGTCTTTATAAATATAATATCTTACTTCACCCTTTTTTTTTCACGTTGTTATGAAATGTCTTTACTTTTGTCGCGACACTTTTTATGAACAAAAGATGCATTGCAAGACGAGCTTTGCCTAAAATAAATACGGGCCCCAGGGTTTTATAGCTTTCAAACATACAAATGCAAATCAAAGGTACAGGTTTACCCTTTCGTGTACTAAAGGGACAATTTCTATTTCTGAGATAGTCTCTTTAATTTTGTTTACTATCAAAACTAAAATAAACGATAGGGAAAAAAAGGGACGACGTTATTTAAATATCTTAAATATATAATATTACTAATGCAATATATACACACACACACACACACACACAGAGACATACATTCTGTTAACATAACTTATATTATCTTACAAATATCTCCATTCTTTGATCATTACCATGTAATAGATAGTATCTTAATAAAAGATAAATTGTCTTTAAAAATAGAAAAAAAAATACTACATTCTCCTATCTCTATTCAAGTAATTAAGTATTTATATCAACTAACTCTCTTTCAACGTTATCTTGACTGATTCTTATTTACAAAATATAAACGATAAATTGAACGAGATAAAAATACGCGAAGAAAACTGGTTCTTGTTGTTTGCAACATACAACGTAAAAATAAACTCAATTCTCTTGGGGGGTGGGGGTGGGGGGTTTATATTTTCCAATAAGAATTGAATTTTCTATCTGTAACGTGGCTTTAATAGTTCTGTTGTTTGTTCCACCAACTGAGTAAAATGGGAAGGGAAAAGATACTTTCTTCTTATTCGGGAAGATTGTTTTCAAGATAACACGTATATCTTTACGCGTTAACGTTTTATGTTAGTGCTGCCTGCCACGAGGGTTGGAAGGGAAAGGGGGAACGACTTTGAAAGAAGAGAACTGAGACTTAGGGGTTTCGGGGTG